CTTACCATTTTGCTGAGATCTATAGTATTTGGATATGTCATTGCCTCTATCGTTGATAACCAGATTGGGATTTTCATGTAAAGTTTTTTTTCCCCACAGACTTTAAACAGGGCATCTCTTACTATGTGTCACTGGAAGTATGAATGAGATTTATTATTTCCCTCCCAGAAGAATCTATGCCAGCCTAGTTGGAGATCATGGCCTTCTAGCATAAGAATCCTTTTATTTCTTAGTTGAATCCAGTCCTTGAGCCATGTCAGGGCTGCTACCTGATAGTAAAGCTCCCAGTCTGGGAGGCCAAAGCCATCTTTGTTTCTACTATCTTGTAGAAGTTTGTATTTAATATGCAGGTTTTTTTCCTGACCAGATAAATTTGGATAGCATTTTATTTAGTTGTTTGACATTTTTTTTCTCTAATTTAATCGGTATTGTTTGAAAAAGATAAAAGTAGTTTGGGTAGTACATTCATTTTAATTGTTGAAATTTTGCCAATTAGTGATATCTGTAGTTTAGTCCAGTTATCCAAATCTTTTTGTATTTGTCATAGCAATTTATTGTAGTTGTCTTCTTTTATTGTAATACATTTTTCCGATAACCATATTCCGAAATATTTAATTTTCTTGGCCCTCAAAATTCCCAGATTCTCCTCCAGTTCTTCATTTTGTCTTTTGGTTAGATTCTTAGTTAATATTTTAGTTTTCTTTTTATTTATTTTAAGCCCTGCCACTTTACCGAATTGGTTTATGTCTTTTAATAATATTAGTCCAGTTTCTAGGGGTTCCTCTGTGAAAAATGCTAGATTGTCTGCAAAAGCCTACACTTTGTATTCCTGTGTTCTAATTTTCAATCCCTTTATGTCCTGGTTCTGTTTAATTTGTAACATCAATGTCTCTATTGAGAGAATAAATAACAGGGGGGATAGAGAGCATCCCTGTCTTACCCCTTTGGTTATGCTGAAACCTTCTGTTGCTTCCCCGTTTAGTATTATTTTTGCCCTCTGACTAGAATATATTGCTCTGGTCATCCCAATAAATTTCTCTCCAAAGTTCATTACTGCTAATTGATTTATAAGAAAATCCCATTTCAGGTTATTGAATGCTTTTTGTGCATCAATAAATATCAATGCTGCTTATTTTCCTGAATGTATCTCGTAGTATTCCAATATGTCCATTATCATTCGTATATTGTTGTTTATATGTCTGTTGGGTAGAAATTTATCTTGGTCTGGGTGTAGGATTCCGTTTAGTATATTTTTAATTCTTTCCTCCATTATTGTCATAAATATTTTATAATCAGCATTTAGT